TTTACAATTCAGGAAGGGTTTGTGTAAATTAAGCCTGTGATTGTTGGTTATGACAGTAGATGATATTATGACTACATAACAGAAGCACACCAAACAGAACACCAGTAGTCGCATTGTCAATACTTTACTTCACCCAGAATCATAGAATACCTTGAGCTTCTTTTGATCAGAGTGACTTACTCAAAGAATATACCATTTGTGAAGATAATTTTACAAATAAAATAAGTTGTTTCTGCGGTCAAAAGCTCTGCTTTTTTCATGATGGAGCAGCTTACAGCCCCCTTTACATCAGTATTGTTTCTACAATGATAGGAAAATCATGTTCACAGCAGCAGTGGACAGACTTAACTTCTTAACACAGTATTTCCTACTTGTCAATGTCAGTCTTTTCTACTTGTCAATTTGTTTTCCTGCTTCTCTAACAATTCCTTTACAGTCATTAAAAGGAAGGAAAGGAAAGGTCTCCCATGCTTCTTATGCAGAGCGTAGGGTGGTGCCCATATCCATTTCTGTAGCCCTTGGGCGACACACAGTAGTGCAATGCACTACAGCAGAGGGCTAGTCCGCTGGTAGTGCTGTGTGTTTGACCTCCCCACACTTTTTCTCATCACTTGTGCTGAGTGCTAAGCAGAGAAAGAAGTGTGTACCATTTTTAAAGTCTTTGGTATGACCCGGCCGGGGTTTGAACTCACGACCTCCCGGTTACAAAGCGAGCACTCTACCAATTGAGCTATTGCACCGGTTACAGTCATTAGCAACATGACATATCTAATTCACCATTTCAGTTTGAAGATTTTCCAGCTGCATTGATAGCCAAGTCTTCACAAAGAAAGCTTTAGATCCCTGGAGGATCGTCAGGACAAGACTACAGTTTGAGGAGCATGGGAGGGACCAGTTTGTCAGCCACCTCCTTGCCTCGGAGTGCCTCCACAATCTGGAGAGCAAACTCGAAGCAGGTTCCGGGCCCCCGGCTGGTGATGATGTGACCATCTCTGGACACCCGGGCTTCTGTGTAGGGATGGCCGGCTGAAACACAACAGGAGAGGTCTAGATTAAACATAGACACTGGTACTACAGATGAGAGTATCACGACACCTACAGATTTACACTTAAACACTTGCAGATCTAAAGTGGCAGGACATAACATGGTACATTTACAATACTCTCCTGCACACATCTATGGTGCTTGGTATCAAAACCTATCATAGCTGCCAAGTCTTTTATCCTTACAATGAAAGAGACTTGCAGCTATAACAGGTTTGGATGTCAGGCTAACATCCATGACCATGATGCCTACGTACATGGTACATGTATATTGAAACTAACAGGCTCCAGCACAACTTGGTGTCATCTACTCCTTAAATTGCTTGAGATCAATCTTAATTTTTGGATAGAGGATACTGTAAATGTTAGGGCATTACCTTCCTCCATCACCTTCTGCACACTGGGGTGAGAGGTGACTGTCTTGTCCTTCCCAATACCATGGCTCACCAACGCAGTGGGACCTGAGAGATGCAAAGGGTTTGTTGTTGGTAACCTCTTCAATTTGTATGAACAAGGACACAATCTCTCACATGCAAAACTACACAAAACAAAGTTGAAAGCGTCACTGTTACAGATAGCTTCTTGTCTCATTTCATGTTTGATTTAAACTTCTCCCTGTTGCGTTAAACCTTAGGTTTACCTTAGGTTTTAGGTTATAAAGACCCTGACCTGCACACACTGCAGCCACCAGCTTCCCCTTCCCTTCCTGCTCCTGTAACACTTCCTTCACCTTGGCAGACTATAGACATCACAGGGAAACAATATGGCAGTCTTATTAGTAACATACAAAATTACAGCTGTTTCCAAGTGTATGACATGGCCCATAATGTACGTGTAACCAAGGACATTATACACAGATATAGTATAATAACATAACATACAAATAATCAATGGTGAAAGCGACAAATTGTATAACTTACGGCAGCCAGGTTCTTGGCCCCTCCCAGTCCACCAGGCAACACAACCACATCATAGGGACCCTGGGAAATATAAGTGTTCTTCAGTCATGACACTTTAACAGACAGATGTATCATCCGTTCCATGTGATTTGCATAAAAAACTCATTACATTTATGTGCTCTTAAATACCAACCGAACAAAACATAGCATACTGTCATATGTCCCATGATGTCTAGATCCTGTTCTACAATGTTATTACTAAATACTGCATACACACAACAACAAAAACAGAAAGGAAAGTGATTTCTACACAAGATGCTGACATGTTTGCGAGCCTCGTCCAGACTGGTGTCCGGACAGATGACCACGTCACGGCTACACTTGACCGGGTCAGTTCCAGCCAGCCCTGCAAGGGTCACCTTGATCTGGGGGACAGGCACACAACATGGTCAAATTTGTGGCATTATTATATTAAGCAACAATATGGACCATAGTATGGTCCATACTGTTGCTGGTCCATACTGTTGCTTAATATAATAACGCAGATGTCATATTGCATTTGTATGGTCACCATACACATGCAATATGACATCTGCGTTATTACTATCAGCATGTTCTGTACAACTTTGAATTCATGATGTTACACTTCTGCCAATTGTCATACCATACCCACAGATGACCTATATTTCGTGCAATGCTTACTATGGCCACACCCCCTTCAATAAATTCTGGGGGAGGGGCATCTGAATACAGTTCCATACTTGATACAATTGTGGGATCAAGCCATTGTGATGCCTTGTAACAGTTATAATACGAGACTCTTGAACTAAATATTTCTTTGCATTCCACCTTGTTCCTGTTCTAATTTTTTCCAACTGTTCAACCAAGGAGGTTTTGCTTCAACTGGCACAGAACAGATTGCCCACAACAATTCGTTGTAAAGGGCTTTAAACATGCACTGGCTCTCTCTTGCCCAGGGCTTTCCAGGTCTTTTCAACTGTCTACAGTTTATCCCCGATGCTCACCCCTCCCCGGCGCATGACGTCCACCGAGATGACGGTCTCCATCTCCTCGGCGCCTTCGGCCAGGATCACCAACGCTGTCACCTCGTCATCCCCCATGTTGTCTGGTAGGGAACACAACAAATATAGGGGCGTAATTAAGATAATAATATATATAGCGTAAAAACTGAACGAGAAAATTATTAAGTTTGATAAATTCATTGCTAATAAATTGCTTGACAATAGTATATGTAAAGTTTAGGACATGGGTTACTTTTATATTGCTAGCAATTTATGTTTGAGAAAATATATGCATACACGACTCCCCCCAAAATTTTGGCACATCCGACCTTTGACATTTAGGTCTGGAAAGACACTGAGTGGGTCTTCACTTCAGAAGTTGGCAGTTTTTTTCGGTTACGTTTTGGCTTACCTGTCGAAAAATGGGGACCAGACTTGTCACAAGAAGCTGTAGAATATCTCAGAGTAACTGCCAAGCTTGTCTGGGACAGCTTTACGGGGAAAAACACCCGTTTTGTGACCAAGGATAGCAGCTTCCAACTTGCGCGGGCTGCTGCCATGAAGTAACCCGTCCAACGGGATGGCCGGCCCGAGATGGTTTTGTTTTCCTGAAGTTTCTTTTTGTAGCTACTTTCCATACATACAGTATCTGCATGCCTAGTAATACATGTTATATTGTGGTTCTGTGCTATGTGCCTATTCGTGACAACACTCGTGAAAGGCCGCGAGTACCTGTAATGCGTACATTTCCCGCAAGGCGGCGCTCCCGCCAGGTGAGCTGCTCGGCACACCTGCCCGGCGGGGCGGCTGTCACCTGTGTTGCCATGGCAGCGGGACGCATGCCCTTTGCGCTGTCAACTTGTTGATCGGAGTTTTCCCCCATTGTGTGCGTTGTATCCAACATGGGACACATGATCCAGCCGTGCATTGTGGCTGGCAGAGGCAAGGATCGGCCAGGTAGACGCTACAAAACCCTCTGAGGAGCGGCTAAGACGTTCTTTTAACCGATTTTTCAATCCGTTGGGTTTTCAAGAGTCTTACTAAACTCTCCACTCTGTCGCCAAGGTCTTAGCTAGTCTTGAATTCAGCACAGGTGCCATGGAATTTGGACCTTGAAGACACGGAAGCAGTCCCTCACAAGACATAATGAATCCCATGAAGGGTTTCTTAAAGACTCCGAATGGAGTCTTCGCCCTCACCAAGGAGCCCATGACTGTGGGGAAAGGACAAGGATGTGAGATCACCCTGAAGGTTTGTATTTGTTGTTTAAAATTTCTCCATGTGTAATGTGGTGTAACTTAGAATGAGCATTCCTACAGCCTAGGTGTTTCGCCCATATTTGTTTACAGTCATTCAGAATTCAAGATTAGCTTATCCTTTTCATATAAGAGCGATGTTTCCACTTGATATCATCACAAGTTTCAATATTTACCATTTGAATCAGCGAGCTGTGAGAGAACGAGTGTTCTGGATAAATGTTGACATTCCTCGATTAACGTCAAACCTCTTGTTGCTTAAGCAAAAATGCCAACAGAGTCAGAGGCCTACTGTAGTGACTCAGTCGTCAACAATATCTGAGTGTTACATGCACGTGATTCTCATGATAAAATGAAATCATTCATTGTAATCACAGCGGGGGTTGTAGGAATATCATAGGTTCATTAGGTTGGTAGTCGTAAGTATTCGTGTCAATGGCCCAACACACAGAAGGGGGTATTTATCACCCTATGCACCATTCTGGGTAGTAATTATATTTCACTGAAACCACTATTCAGATACAGATAACGTAGGTATACTAGCCCTCCTTTTCAACATGTCCACAGAGCTCTTTCAGCAGTATCTCAGCTATTTTTAGTGTTGGAATTCACAGTTCACAGTTTAGGAATAGTTAGTGTGTATTCAAAACACAACATCAAAGCTGACGTGGACACTTAATGATAATGCTTTAGGTCCTAAGTTTGTATGAAAACAGGAAAATACTTCTCGGGTACAATGTTTTTCCAACTTCTGTTCTTTGTCTTTCTGTGTATAGGTTTTGAAAATTGTCTGTAAACCCACGCACTTTCCCACGGACTCGTACTATAAGCACTGCAGCCATCAGAATTTCCCAGGCTGCTACAATATGGTCGATAATGTAACATTGAACAAAGATTCCTGTATCAAATGCACCCTAAACAGCAACTTCCTGTTTAGTTTAACTGTTCTTTTTTCCAATGATCCAGTCAACATGACCAACATTATAGACGAGTATTTAGTTAGTCTCTTGCGAAGGTGCAAAGTCAAACTTTGTTGTTAGTTAAAACAATTTCCTCATAACAGTTCCTGTTCAAAGTTTCACAAACAAGTTAAACCTTTAACCTTGCTGTTATCTGCGTTACAACTTGCTGATGTAATCGTTTTTCCAACACACCTGGCACTGGCTGGCAGTCACAGTCAGCTGGAAACAGAACGAACTTGTACCAAACTACCAGTAGTTTATGATACATAGTTTATCCTGTGACATACATATTTTACCACATGACATACCATATGTAGAGGACGTTTTTCTAAGCAACAATCAAGATTTCAACCTTTTACTACAGGTTAACCAGACAGTTACGAATACAAATCGTGGTGTCAAATGATTAGTCAACAGGGAAAAGGTTCATGGACATGTATGTGCATATTGTGCACCTTGTATCTGTCTTGCTTTATCTTCAGGCTCCAATTGAGGAAGGATATTTGACAATGACAGTGTGATACAGAGTGATGTAACAACTATTGTCAGATATGTATAATGTATCATAGCTAAGGGTTGTTTGTAGCAATTAGTGTGGGGAAAGATTTGCAAGACAGATAGAGACATTGATCAAAACTGCTGATAAGGGTCATTACAGGTAGTTGGTGAGTAATCAGTATCCTCCCACTAAAATTAGCCTTCTACAACTTACTGATTTCAAATTTGCAATCATGATCAGGGATTTAAGCAAAATTCACATTTTTGTGTGCATTTTTCAGTACACATTTTTTAGACAGGTAACAGTGTCTGAAGAAAGGCATGACTCTTCCTTCCACGGTGACTTGTCTTTCAGTTGAGGAATGTGTCGGTAAAACAGGTGATTAATTACCAGCGTACAATCTGGAGAATATGTTAGCTGTCTGTTACAGTGTGGATTTAGTGATTAAGATGAGACAGGGGCCTCCCATGACGTCTTGTCTGCAGGAACAAAGAGTGAAGTGACACTGTAAAGTGATAAATCTTTAATAAATCACAGGTGGTCTGAAATTTGTCTCAGCTATGACAGTGGAAGGAAGGAAAGAGACACCTTCCATATTGAAATATATCTTTCCATGGAACAAAATGTTCTGACATTGAAAATAATTCAATAGCCAAAGCTTTCAGCAATCAAATTTTTACCCTATAGGATGAAATTTGTGAGCTTGAGGCTTTTATTTTTTTCTTGAAAACTAATGCAGACAGGCAATTAGTAATATTATTCTTCTAGAAGGTGTGACAAAGGAAAATACACCATGTTAAATTATGTAGTATATTAAGTAATACAGTACAATGTTTTATTTGATTCAGAGTTTCTACAGCATTAAAGACATTAAGGCATGCATTATACAATTTGTATATTGACTGAAGGCTTCTGCAGGTCAGATGAATAGTTGTGCAATTGTACAGATCACCTAGTGAAGGAAGCCGAGGTATTTACCAGGTGTGTTATGGGATTAAGGCCAGATGAGTGGTTACCTGGGCAGGTGAGCACCAACGTGTGTTAACTCAGGTACAGACATGAAGTCAGGTACATACTAGTACATACTAACTTACATTCCCAATTGTTGGTCCAATGTTCTATTTTGTATTCTAGCTTTCAGATTTTAATTTTCTTCCCTATTGTCTAAACAGAATGCCATTTCGGACATTTATTGCTCACATATAGATTAGAGGTCATATCTTTAGTATATCATGACCCATAAGCCATAACTACATACGATTATTGACAGTCTGAACAATGGATTTGTGTACATAGCCAAAAAGTATATTACATCAGTTACAGGAAAAGGTACAAAGATTAAGCATAGTTAATGGGAATGGCCATTGTTCAGCTTGTTTCCCCACTTGTGGGTAAAGTAAAGAGAGTGGAAAGAAGTGGTAGCCTGCATTGTCAACAGATATATCTGACAGTAACAGTAACAACATCGATGATAATGAAGATGTTTCTGCTCTAGTCTGACAAAAATTCCTAGACTGTACGGTCCTGCTTCTGCTGTTCCCACCTCTCCAAGCAGACCTGCTGGCTTTGTTTTCCTGGAGACCCGGCACACACAGTAACCAGCTCACTCCGCCTGTCTGTTTGCACAGTTTATTTGTTCCCGTTTTATCCCCTCTAGTCGATAACACGAAAGTCGGACAAAAGTTTTCTTTCTCCCCCTTCACGGTGAGTGCGCGACAGCGGTTTGACCATTGACATTGGCACGATTTCCCAGACAATACGTGTGTTTACGCCGTAGCAAGTACAAGCACTTTTTTCATGCAGTACCCCCCAAGGTGGCTGTAAAAGTCACTCACCTTGTTACCCATTAATGTACTGTGTGTTCACATTTTGTCCCAAATGAAGACAGTGTCTACACAGCGCTGTAGTTACTGGCATGTAATTGGTTGCCCCTTAAAGGCCATCATCAATTCCAAATTGCCTTTTCTTGTCGACCCAAAATGTTTTGTCATTTTGTATGTAACAAATTGCCTAATCTTCCTGGGACTTTTGTGAAGAAGTATGAATTAGACATTAATTTCACACTGCAAGGATAAACTCCACCCACCTACATAGTTACGGTCACTCTCAATGTGGGTGCGGTGGTCAGCTTTCCCTCAGTCTAGTTAAACTCCAAAACATTCAAGAAAATTCTCATCAAACTAGGAGGCATCACAGCCAAGTTTGTCAAGAATTGGTTACAAGGTACTTTTACTGCTGTGATTGTTTGATATTTGTAATAATTTCCATCTCTAGGGTTAAACCAAAGATTAGAGGAGTTTTGTGTTGAAGTGAATGGTAAGGAAAGATCTTTACTCATATTTTGTGTCTGTAAAGTTGACAGTTATCACTCCTGCAGATTATTTGGTTTGATACTTTAAACTGAAACATCTCCACTCAAGAAGATATTAGATGACTTGTTTTAAGAACACTTACAAGACATTATTTTTCCAGGTCAGTGGTATGTAGGAATGCTTGAGTGTTCATTCTCAGTCTAGAGTGTGAAAGAGTTAGCTTCTTACCTCTTTGTGTTCCCATAGCTGTTGGAGATTGTTTAAGGAATAAGAGGATTGAAAGGTGCCTATTTAAAGAGGTTGGCCCAGTTTACGAGCACTCAAAATAGGCAGTGAGCCTCTTCAGTGCAGCAAAATTGAACAGGTAGAAGCACCCAACAAAAACACAGGTCTTTTCAAGGAACACTTAAGAAGTAGTTAAGGTACAAACAAGAGACTGTCATCATTTCCTGTTGAAAAAATGGGGAGGGAGTGAATTTGTTAAAAGTTGCAGTTTTGAGGTTTTCAGCATTTTTATGACAGAGGCAATTTTTGCACTTTGGGCAGATATTGGTTTCAGCCAAACTTGCAGATTGAAACAAAATGGAACTTTTCGATACAGTTATTTTCTCCTTTTGAAGATGCTGAATTTGCTGATATACATATAAACCTTGATTGCACATTTAAAGTTTGTCAAAATTGACACTAGACACTCCCTGATGGTCAAGTCTTGTGTTGTCCTCCACAGTATTTAACCTCTGCTGTCCAATCTAGTTGTGAATGTACCAGCTAGACAATACGCTTTGTGTACAGGAGGGTTCGTATATTGATATTTGATCATATCTAATTGAAGCTTGGATCAAAGGCGGCAAGAGACCCAATACATTCCAGAACACAGTCCATTATCCACTGTTGGCGTGCGATGCTACCGTTCTGGAACGGAAAACTCGTCTCAAGCCGTGACAAGGTTAGACAGCAAGGGTCAACGGTGACATTTATTTTTCTGGCATCACCCCTGACAACCAAGAGATGATGTTATATAAACAGGTGTGATGATGATGATTCGGTTGAGAGGGTGTCGGTGTTTGTGGCACGTTCCTTCAGAGATAATGTGCCCGCTGTGAAGGTCAGACCTTTACACAGGTGAAACTCTGTCCTCCCTTGTGAAACAACACCGGTAACACAGCCAGCAGACATTGTGGTCCACTGTTCTCTACCCTGGTACTGGGCTTGTTCCCATCTAGTGGCTCACAAAGAAACAAGGGCTCTCCTTACCTTTCAGCACTGTTCCTTTTTCAGGATACATCCCCACTGCCCATTCTTTAGACAAGATGGATTTAAGTTTTTCGATCGATCATTTATACTACCGAGAACTTTTTTGAGAAAAAAAAATTTAACCCTACATGTATTAGCAAACCACCAGTATTGATATGTGACTGTCAGCAACTGATCAATTGCTGACAGTCTCATTTCAGTAACATTTCAGTTAAAACTGTCAGCAGCTCAACTGTCACGAATGCACGTAGAAGCCACTCTATGTTTAGCTACATAATCCATCACTGTCAATGGATTTTTCTTTCGCTTTCCTCTTTGGTAATCATGATTGTCCATGTAATGACCATGGTTCTTGTTCATCTCTTACTTTTAGGCAGCAGTTGCCTAACAACAAGCCACAGGGCCATGTTGTTGGTAGCTGTTTGCGTCCCTTAATAAGCCAGCTGTCATGACATGGGGAACACAGTCTTGACACGTTAGTCAATATTTTTGACTCAGGTCTGCTTTTTTTAAGGTGCAAACTGTATGCAATAGCACTCGAGCATTTGCTCTACAATTACCCCTGCTCAGAGAGATACAATAGTCTCCTGTCGGCTTAACCATGTGTCAATAATTACTTGGCCTGGTTAGCCATTGATGAAACATTAATGATCCTTAACTCAAATTGCCCAACAATACCCCACTAGACAGAGATCAGTACTTTTTTCATTGTCGGATATATAGTATTACGTAACAGCACTACATTTAGTTCAGTACCAATGCAGCCAAAAGGACTCTCTGTCATCAAGGTTTTTATGTTTTTCCTGATGAAAAGATGATTGAACTTGTGAAACAAATACACGTCCGGCCAGAATGGTTAACTCAAACACAACTGACCTGATTCCACCTATAACTGGCCAGTTCTAGAGCCCCTTCCTCAGGGTCTAGATCACCTGTTCGAATACAACGCAGGCACGTGTGCTCGCACATGTTCGAACATGTGGCCGGCCCCCCTTGAAGGAGGGACTAAAACTGGCAAGAATACAAACATTAAGAACACAGCAACGACAATAATACAACACTATATTGCATTGTTACATTTGTGTCATCATTTAATGCACTTGTAGCAGTATAGAACCTAGTTTGAAGCTGGCCGGTGTTTTCTGTTGAATGGTAGTTACCTGGTATACTGGCTATACAGGTACAGATACAGAAGATGCCTTCCACTGTCTGTGAAAAGCAAGGAAGAAGAAGGAACAACATAGTTTTTTTTATAACGGTAACAGATGGTTCCTTATCCGTCCATTGCGCAAGCCCAGTAAAACTGTCACGTCAGAAGAAACGTGCGGAGGAATGCGATCAGGTCCTTAGGTCAACACGTCGGCACCTGATGGGAAACTGAACCCGCACTCGGACCCACGAGCATTTGTCTGCCTGCATTTCCCAGTGTTTACACAAGGGGGACGCCTGTATTTAAGTAAGACATAAAACACGGCCGTACAGAAAGACACAAAAAGGACACAGCTATGTGGATGCAAGTTGTAAACATTGGCTTTTCATTTGGAACAGGAGGGAGTTACATTTCCATTTTTTCTCAGGATGTTTTTGGAGCGTATTTCGTTACATGTCTTTTAAACACTTAAGATCAAGGCTTGATGCCTGAAATAGCTTTTTTTGTTTGTTTTTGGACTATCAAGTATCTCGAAGAACAATTTTCATTATGGGATTTTAAAAGCTTTATGTCTGTGAATGGCAGAGACTTTGACTGCAAAATACTGCAGTCTGCACTGATATGACATGGCCAGACTCAGCCTTTTGGAGTTGTGAGTAAAACTAGTAAGTTTTTTAAAGAGCGTGGTATAAGAAGAAGTCTTTCAACTTGAATCAGTTTACCAGGTAGCACTGAAAAGTTAGGTCTTTTTTTTTCAGTATTCTCTATGTGAAAATTTCTACACTTGAAGCAAAGGGTCTTCAAGTGATGCATCAGAAAAAAGGGATCCATCACGCGTTAAACTTCCAATGGTATATGCAAGGTTGAAGGGTATTGTTTTCTGAAGATAATCATTCAGATTTGACATGCCAACTAATTAAATAAAGCAGGGAATAGTTGCCAAGAAAATTAAAACTTGGGTCATGAAATGTTGCAGAGACAGCAGAAAATGGCACAATTTTGTTTTCATCATTCCGTTACATGCATGGATGAATAGTCATCACATGCCTCAATATCTGATCAGGTACATGTATATAGGATGATAAATATCAAACTCAAGCTGTTTTCCCAAGGTGCGTTCTGTTTGGGTCCACTGTTTAATTGTGTGAACACAGTAGATAGGAGATGTCATTAAAAGCCTTATCATCATTATCTGTCAGACTGTAGCTGTCTAAGTTACCATATCTGTTCTCATGGAATGTACCATACATAATTTTGATGGGGTGTCAGTGGGATTTTCTTCATTTATTGTCAATATTGCTGTCCATTTTGATGGTGAATTTTTGATGCAATGCAGTCCTTGACACCACATCCACTAGTGACAGCCTATAGAACGGAGAAATTTTGTACATAAGAACATTTTGAAAATTATGCACCTCCTTTCTTTTTATTTGGTCAGTCCCTAAAACGATTGACTCCCTCTTACCGTTGCAGAATCCCCATGTGGAGGATCACCATGCGGTAATCCAGCTGAACGAGCGTGACCACTGCTTTGTGCTGCAGGACCTGAACTCACAGCGCGGCACTTACGTGAACGACTGCCGTGTACCGACCGGAGCAGTACGACTAGCACCCGGGGATGTCATTAAATTTGCAGGGGAAGGAGAAGGATACGAACTAGAGGTAACTATGTAAACATGCTTAACTGTTACTGTATACAGTAACCTTCTCACTGTTGCCAAGCCTGTAGCCAATAGAGAATGGGTGCCCAAACAGTTACTTCAGTGTGCAATTACAGTTTTTTAAAGTATCTTTGAAGGGAGAAAGAAGAACCCTTAAAGTGATTTAGCTAAGTCAAAGCCCTCGTGGAGTTATGAGCTCAAAAGTTTGACAGTGAGTGATACATCAGTTAGTTCATAGCAGAAAAAAGGTTCAGAAAAGGAACTCTGTTGCTAACTTCTGTGTGGTAAAGTTATCCACCCTTATTTAAGCATCAGTGACAGTAGATGATATCCTTCAGGCGTGCATTGTCTTCTTTGTGTAACTTTATCTTCTCGCCTGTATCAAGTAGTAACAGAATTAAGTCTGGTTAAAAGGTGGGATCATTGCTTGTGTGTTGTTACCATGGCCTTTATGCAATCTGTTTGATGTTTCTTTCTTAGGTTACTTATCAGTTAAATCTGTACAATAGTTTCGCAGACATGCTGTAGTCATGTTGTAACTGTTTAATAGACCTTTCAAAGGAAGAGAATAGCAGCTAAAAATACCTGTCATGTCATTATAAATTGATCAAGAAAAGATGTAGAATGTAACTAAAGCACGGCATAGGTGTCCGTCAATTATCATAGAACTTTTTTATGTGTCATTATAAAGTCCTTCATTATAAAGGAATATAGAGTTGAAGTTAGGGTTGCTAGCACACACAGATATTTTATTACTAATGAAATCCAACTGTCTCTGTCATTAATGGAATGTTATCACAATCAAGATCACATAGCTCTGTATGCTTGGTAAAGTCTCAAACCAATATTTAGTCACATACAACCACCACTTCACTCAACAACGTACCTTGGCAGAACTTGAGGTAAATTTGATCTTTCCTTTGAAGAAGTAGTCAGATGTAGTTAAGTAAGGTAATTTCGGAAGGAGATAGATAAATGTCATAATCTTGTTTTCTTCGATATGACACCTGACCAAAAGTCACTAAAACTGGGGTCACATTTTGAAGTGTAGTTGTTAATGTGACTTCTAGTTTTACTGGTAAATATTTATTACCAAACCCAATGACTAGTGGGTAGGATTACTTCTTTTAGAAAATCATGTCTGAGGGATTAGGTCTGACCCGGATATGTCTTCTGGTGTTTGTAGATGTCTGTTGAAAAGTTTGGTTGTGATATCTTCCAAGGACAGGTTTCCAGTTTCAAACTTGCCAACTCTGTTCAAGATCTGGCTAAGAAGTTACCCGGTATGATCTTCTGTAGAATGTAAAGGATTTTCCCCACAGTTTGGTAAGTTTTACATTTTGTCATAGTTGAAGAGCAGTTTTTTCTGAGAAAGAGCAATGTACGTCAGTGAAGGTTCGACATACAGGTAGTAAGATATGCCAAAAAACAGTGTACTCAAGCAACTGGGTATGATTGGAAAATCATATCCAGTTGCTTGAGTAACTGCTTTTTTGGGTGTAGAAAAAATGTCTTGAAACTAAGAAATAGACTGCAGAGACTATTTTTTAATTAAATCTAATCCCAGTGTGCAGGTGGTAGCAGGGACAGGATTAAGTGACTACTTGAAAGTTTTGACTACTAATACTGCAAAGTACTTATAAACAAATCAATAGATTCTTACTCATTACTGTCAGCACAATAGTAACTCTGATTCATTCAATGGTGGATATTTGAACAGCTTGGAGACATAAAATAGTAACAGTGCGCTTAGGTCGGGATGTGGTTACTGTTGTCACTGTGAGAGCCACTTGACTCTTGTACCAATGTTATAACAGGTGTCCTTACATGTGTAACTTATGTGTAATACCTGTGGGTGTACGGAACTAGTGTCACAAATTTAACCTTTGCAGAAACTTGAAGTCTGAAACAACTTATAAACATCAGGTACAGTTAGAGTGCTTTTTTTTCTTTTCTTGAAGTTGGCACCGTCAAGATATGAATAACTTTTGTTGTAATTAAGTCAACATCCTTTTATGCAGCTGACAGTGCTCCTGAACACCTCCAGTACTGTTGAGCGTTTGGTCTCCATGGAAACTTGGGTAGGATTCTCTCATAGTGGTTTTTAACTCCCAAAAAATGAATGAAACTTTGATTTAAATGCAGTCTTGGTTAAATTGGGGAAAAGTTGGAAAGTACTTCCGACTGGATAACCAATCTTCTGTGAGAGTCAGTGTTCCGATTTGTGAGGAAGTGCCTAGAGGAAGTTGTTTTCAAAAAACAAGGTTAGACGTCACAGTGAAGTAGTGCTTCTGAACTATGGTGACATTTGCGTTTTGGATTTCTAAGTACAGTTTGTCTTACATTCTTGCAAGGGCTAATATTGCCCAACCACCTGTTCTATCTTATATGTTCTTGCTCTGATCCACAGTCTTTGCCACCCCAGCGTGGCTTTGTTCGTGGTAATTGGCACTGGGTACAAATAGACTTTGGTATTGAGTGCCTGTCGTTCCAACTTAGCGTTCTGGCAGACATGTTTGACTTAGCAGGGAGTGGGCCTCTTGAGTAGAACTCATGAATAGAAGACTTCAACTCTGCTATGAGTTATGATTTACAAACCTTGAGTTCTAGTAGGTTGCATTTTCAACTGCTTGCTGCCAGGACTGACAGTTGGGTTGTCAGGGAGGTCATGAAGTGGCATGATAGACTTTGTCGTTGTAGCTATAGCATGTAAGAATAAATTAATGTGATGTGACAGGATCATTAGTATCCAAGTTACTACGTCAGCTGCTGGCGTATATTGGTAAACATCACTTACATAACCCCTGTAGCAGATACACAGGTGTACAGTACAGGAAAGTGGCTGGATATGGTTGTGCTCTTGTGAAGAGGAGTCTTATTCATGGGCAGAGGAGACAGATTCCTGATATGCTTCACAGTTTTTTGTTGAAAAGGTTGCATTCCTTTAGTGCTGTTAGTCTCTTCTTTTTTGTTCACAAAATGGCCTCCATGATGGTATTGTTAACCTCCATTCCAACATACATATAGCTAGCTTGATTGTCATTCCATTTTTCTTTCTTACACTGTACCCTGTATGTGATATCTCCTTTCTTATTATTCAACAAAGATCACACAAGAAATAAACTTTGACAATGTCTACCTCACCTTGTAGTTTGACTTTGACAATTTTTGCAGCATTGAAGCTTCTTGAAACAATAGGCTCAGACTAAAACAATGCACTCCATGTTTTGTAGGTGTACTACCCACCAGTGTACCAGCGTCCTGCCTCCAACCTGCCCATTGCAATCTCCACATCCGCCACTTCGTCCCAACCCTGGGCAGTCAAGACCCAACCCAAGCCCTCAGCACCGCGCATTCTCAGCAGGCGGCCTGGACACAGCTCCCCTCCCCACGATAGAAACTCCTCTCCCAAACCGCCGCAGCAGGCAGCAGCCTTCGGGAGAAGACCGGCGCCACCTGGCCCTGGCACGGACGCCCTACCCCCGGGGATGCAGTTTACCACGGTGGAACCTCTGGGAGCGGGGAGAACCATGTCAGAGACGCTCAGTGTCAGCAGACAGAGCCTGCCCAGCCAGTCCATGCTGCCCAACCTGGGAGGCCCCGTCGTACACTCTACTCCATATAGAACAGACTTGAACCAATCATGGCCCAGTAACAGGAGCAACACGCCCAACCAGCCTTACGTAGTGGGGAACCAAGGCAGCAGTCGGATGGAGAGATACAGACCACAGGTACACACAAAGTCTACAGGAATGTTTTAGTATAGAATGCCTAAGTAACATTATGTTCTTTTCTAATCATTATGTTACATCATGGAGGTCTGATTTCTACCTCCATGGTTACATGTTGGTACCAAAAACAAATTGGGTAACCAATTCAGGGTATAATCATGTGTATACTTGGAAGAAACAAGGACCTCCTTTGCTCCCCTGTACCGGCAGTAACCATTTAATGTAACATTGTACACTGTACGGTGTAGAAAATTTTGTTTTGAAATTGTACAAGTTGCACTTTTGAAATCTGACATGAGGCCAAATTGGGGTACTGAAGAGATTTGAATTAAGTCAGCATTCTGCTGTTATAGGTCTGATGAGTTCTCTTGCAAATAAATAAACATATTTTTTCCTCCAATCATCAGTCGCCGGACAGAACCATGTTACATCCAGGTCCCCAGGCCTGGGCACGGCCACAGAGTTCCACCACACAGTCATCAGGCATCGGCAGTGGTTCCCACAGTCCTAGTGTCAGTCCACCAACACACAAACCTACCACAGGTGAGGGATAGTGAGATATGGATAGGAACAAGGACTTAATATGAAGTACACACTCAGGAAGGAACAAGCAAAAAGAGAAGGAAAAAGGAGAGAAAGAGCTAACCTTAAACAATTAATGAAATGAAATGTTAAAACCATTGAGAGAGATGAAAGAATATAGAAAAATAGAGGAAGAGGAAGTCTCAGAGAAAAAATTAGCGAGAGATGGAGACAAAAGGGAGAAGAAAGCATGACTGAAGGGACAGAAAGCTGCCATGTATGAGAAGGAAATGAACAAAGGAAAGGACATTGAGGATATAAAGTCAGGGACGAATGGCTATTATGACTTGAAATGTCAGACAATAGTGACATTTATGTAGTGACATTCCAACTATTGATGAGCACCATATACCTGGAGGCAATTTAGGTCAATTGCTTTCACACCTGAGGAAGCCATCACATATCTCTCATCACGTATAGAGGTATAGATGTCCTAAAGGCCACAGAGGAACTTATTAAGCACTACAGATTGTCATATGAATAATACATGTGGTAGTATTTAAGAGAATAATCCCCTCTCCTTGTCCCTTTATTCCCCCAGCGCCGGCTGAATGGATGACAAATGGTGCTATCAGACCCGGAGGACCCTCCGTCTCACCACGCAATGGCAGCCTCAGTAGCAACGAGAGTCTGAATTCCTCACCAAACAGTTCTCCTAGAGACGACACCACGTCACACAGAGACTTGGCAGCCAAGAGAATAGGTCAGGCTGGCTCTGAGAACAGTGGCCTGGTTAGGGACAGGGCTCAGGACGCCATGCAGAAAAAGTTTACACCTCCCAGGGTTAAAACTGCCGTGGGGGGCAGGAAAGTAGGCATCACTGACAGGAGAAGATACAGTCAGGACATCCTCGGTTCAGGGGATACCGGTGTCTCTTTCCTCGGTGAACTCACAGAAGAAATGAACGGACATGTGTCAGTAAGTCAGGATGCCTTGAATTTCACTGGAAGAGACGTTGATCAACAAAACGGCCTTGACTCAACAAGAAATGGCCACGTTCCTTTCGAGGATGGTTTTGAAGCGTCTCCAGCCAGCCCAAGGTTTGGCCAGTCATCTGTGGAAGTCAGCAGCAAAGCCATGGGAGAAGAGGAAGACGGGGGTTTGACTTTAAATGGGTCTGTGACTCACGGGTCTCTGGACACTGGTAGAAGGTTATTCAATGGAGAAGTGTTGAAGGCAAGGACACTAGAAGAGAAGGTATGTGATGATTTGATCAACATCAATTTTTTTGTGAGCTTTTCATTTTCATTTGGAAAATTTGCCACTGTCTTATCATATATTTGGCAATTTGATGACACCTGATTTTGCTGTATTCCTTTTTTTCTTCCAAATTAGGACCAGTACATAGCTGAGCTAGAAGAGAACATGTCCAGAATGCAGTTACTAGAGGAGGACTCGCGAGACAAGGACAACACTATTCTGTCACTGACAGAGGAGATCGCACAGTTAGAAGGAGCGCTGTTACAGGCACAGGGCAGCGGAGACAGCGAATCCTTCATCGCAGAGAGGCTGTTCATCCTGGAGAGTGAGGTGGCTCGCAAGAACAACGAACTCGCCAGGCTTAGACATCAGGTAAGGTTTATGTACATCTGTGTTGACAGAGGACAGGAAAAAAAGACAAATGGAAACTAACATTTCTTTTATTCCTACATGATCATGTGGAATTTTTCTTTGAATTAAAATTTTCAAAGTTTGTGAAAAAATAATAAAAAGACTTACATGTACCCGATAAGTATAGCAATATTTTGAATCTCTGTTATTATGTTAACAAGCATAGTGATATCTCAAGTGATGTCGTATGTGCCAAAAATGTCAAAATAACATTTTTGTGGAAATCTCCTTCCCCAGCTTGGCTCCATGCAGGCAGACTCCTCCGTGTACCATGACAGTTATGAAGCCATGAGGTCAGAGTTAGTCGAGCGCAACCAGGAGGTCTCCACACTACGGGCTGACCTGGAAAGGTACTACACAATGTCAAGGGTTGAACCGTTCTTTTTCCTTATCAAGATTTTGCTAGCTACTCACCTATATCATCTTTAAAAATGGGCAAATCTTTATGCAGATTTGAGTACAAGTACGTAGCTAAGACTATTAATTGGCCATGTACCGTATTTCAACTTTTGTCTTGCCTTGTGTGAGATGAATCTTCTATCTTTTTTCTTATTCCTTCAAATTTTCAAAAGTTGAGGGTAGATTTTAAAGATGTTGTGTCATCTTTTGTAGGACCAGCAAGAACTACAACATGTCAGCAGGCACAGTCATGTCCCTACGGAGGGAGGTGACCAGGAAAGATGAACAGATCGCCAAACTGAAGAAAGAGATGGACAAGGTGAAGAAAGAACTGCGGGAGAGGGAGGCAGAGGTGGAACTCATGTCCACCAAGGTAGAATACCTTTATTACACCCTTATTCTAGATTGAATGGTATACCCAGTAAAGATAACTGCATATACTGTTATACATGTACCTAAGTTTGACAGATAAAACCTAACCGTCATTCTGTGCTCTTGTATGTTGACTTTTTATTAGGCTGACTTTTAAACATAATTAGGGCCCACGGAATAACTCCTCGTTGTACGTATTGAGAGATCTCCCTCCAAGATTGACTCTGTACTTGAAAACATGGTGATAGAAATATGTTAATTTAACCCTGTATAACTCCTGACTTTTCTTGTCTTTGTTCCACCAGTTCTCCAGACTGAGGGAAGACAAGAAAAAGTCTTCGGCTGACGACAGCTTCTCCTTGGAGAAGGAGATCATCAACCTGAAGAACGTGAGTCATGCTGTGTTAGTCATGTGTTGTTCTTGTTGACTCACCGGTGTAGGATTTCCTCAGAGGTGACTTCTTGACTCACAGGTGTAAGATTTCCTACACACTGGATTGCCAGCGCCCCCTTGCAACTAAAGTTGTCATTGCAGCTTGCTGCATATCTGTTCATTGACAGGCTGACAATTTGTGACCCTTTACTGAGTTGTTTATGAGAATGCTTATGCCCTTTTTTGTGGAGAAAGGATGAAAACAATTCACTTCATTTTAATTTTCCTGGTTTATCTCTATTTTTCAATTCTTATTCCATTATTTTTTGCCAACAGACGTTGAAAACTGTTGAGGAGAAGGCAGCTGAACAAGAGCGCCAGTTGAAGAAGTACAGGGTGGACATGGTGAGACTGAGGATGCAGAGAGCAGCTGACAAAGAGGTAAAGATACACTCATTGTGTGTGTTAGTAGTTGTGAACTCTTTATATACATGTCAACATAAGAACAATGATTGAATAGTTTTTTTCTGCCTTTGGCACCATACATGTACCTATAATTTTTTTTTCAAAACAAGCATTTGTCTGAACAGTGTAATATAGTCTGTAATATCTTGTAACGTTACCTATTACACTCCTGTACGTTTGGAACCGCATTGTGGAGTCTGTTTGTATATATCCAACTCCTGTACGATTGTGACCGCATTTAGATACAGTTCCCTAAGTGCTAGAACTGATCCAATTGTTCCAATGTCCGTCACTCACGTTTCAGACAAAAAAATTTGATAGGCCATCCCAATACGTGCACTTAATGGACTTCCAATTACAAGTAAATTTATCAAATATTTGGGCATAGCAATGTGGCAGTTGAGGGTTGAAAAAGCCATCCATACTAAGTAAAACATGTGACTGTCTGTTTCCTCCCCAGGTCCACACCAGACTGCAGTCAGAGCTGAATGAGAACAAGTCGCTGGCCCTGTCCAGCCAGCACACAGAGCAGCAGCTGAGGGTGGAGCTGGAGTCCACCTCCTCTCGTGTGGAGAGGCTCCGCAGTAAGATCATCCAGGCCGTGTACGGGGCTCCAGCTAAGGTGAGAGGCACTACTGTGATACAGAACATGAACTTTAGACATTGTTTCTTATTGTAGATTTTTCACCAAGGGATCATAACAGTACTGAATGTTATTACATGTACATGCTGGATAGAGGAGTTTTCTTTTAAACAACCAAGATTTCTCACCTAAGTGCTGACATTTCATTGTCTATCAGATACCTTCCTCAGAGCTTCTGACTGGAGTTCTGCTTCTTGCTGCTAGGGGGTAGCCATTGGTAGCCATTTATAAATTTTTGAGCTACATGTATTTTGTGAGCAAACCAAGAAGCCAAACAATGACAGTGAAAATAAAACTGAGGCCTTTTGCAAACTTAACATCGTTACAAATGTACATTTAGCAGTGTTTTCCCTATTTATTCCAACCTGTTTGCCCTTGCTAACGGCAGTGAACCTTAATCCGACGCAACCTTAATCCGACACTTTTCAACACTCCTCTGTCTGTTAGGATCTAGCACTGATATGCAAAATCTTTTAATTGCTTTACAAACTCAATAAGGTATACAGCATAAAAACTTGAAACAGTGAGCTAATGAAGTCAACATGTTGTGGAGACGAGGTCATGAAAATTTTCAGGCTGTTTTGCACTGGTAGGCATGTCGTGGGAGGAAGCTTCCGGAAGGACAGTGGTCAAAACATCGACAATTTCTCCTTTACATCCTCATGCTATACATTCAACGTCACAGCGAATAAAAAACAATTAATAAAGTGTGTGTTGCTGACAAACCACTTGCCTAGAAGTGTCCTTCTTTTTAAGCACAGAGCGAGTTCGTTACGGTCATTCAGCCGCTGATCGAACAAAACCGCCATTTTGAATTGTTGTTGTTGTTGAAGACGATACCACTAGTCCGTACGTGGATGTGGCAAATGATCGCAACACTTGTATATCGTCAAAATTAGTGACGAATACTTCAGAATAGTGCAGAATAAAGCTTTCTGCATGGTAAAATTATCGTAAAATTCTTCAATTATTCCATATTCAAATATTTCTTGGAAGGAAATGCCTCGCCGTAACTGATTCGAATGTGGTCCCCTTCTTTGAAAATTCGATAGTCCCAAGCCACGTGATACCGATCTGTAGCGCTGCCGACGGTGCACCGCACCGGCCTACCGACTGTTTCTTTTGATGCCGATTATAACTAGTATAAGTGTCTGTTGTTTGACAAAGGGATTGAGAAAAAATGTTGTTGTGAATAGCAAAATTACAGGCAAACAGCTACACTGTTGCATGGCATCGGATTAAGGTTTCGCTTAGAACAGAATACGCAGGGCACGGTGAAATCGGGAGCGATGTTGAAGACGCAATTTTCCCGCGATATCTCAATGGTTGGGAGAGTGACACACACGTAGGTATGGCGTTAAAAATAGGCTACAAGATGCACTAAGTGATTAACGAAAATACCGAATGTCTGGTTGTGGATTCATCATTCAATCTTGCCTGTGCATAAAAGTGTCGGATTAAGGTTCACTGCCGTTACATGTACCTAAACAAATCAGGTTTTTTGTCTAACAAGACATTTTCTCCATCCTTCCAACAGGCCAACAAGAAGAAGCCATCCTCTCTCCTGTCTGACAACGATGTCCTGACCAACCTCCAGCGGCTGATGGACGAGCGTGTGGCCTGTCAGGACATCCTGAAGCGTGTAAAGGAGAAGGGAAAACTGGACGAAGCCACAAAGAAAGAGATGACACTGATGCTTAAAGATCAGCTGGGGCCTCCCACTTCTGCCAAAGGGAACAAAGGGAAATGAGATACTAGTATATCTATTAGTAAAAGTCTTTATTTGCTTGTACATGTATGTAGAAAGCTTAGAAATAATTGAAGCCTTTATTTGTTGAGAGACCTTGGAATGTTTTACTATGCAGGAGCTTTGAACAAAGTCAATAGACAAAGAAGAAGAAGCCATTCAGAGTTTTAATGTATGAGATTCCTGCATCTTGCTAACTGTTGGTTTCAAGATATGCCATGTAGTGCTGTATGATCTTTGCTGTGGTATCAAAGCGATGAATTCAGACTTTCCATACATTGGAAATTATTCTGTACTTTTGTAACTGTCACAAAATTTGTGACTGGAGAGCCACAATTGAAGAAGACTTGTTGTTCCACATATTGTTCCCTGTTGATATTCTGTCCATATTTTTATTGAAGCACTTGATTGGATGTGTAGACTCTGATTCAAGTCTATTGGTATGCAAAAGAATATAACTTTGCCATAAACTGACTGATATTAATCAAGTTGTCCCAAATTATGATGCTGTGTGTTGTTGATATAGGGAACATGACATTGTATTTACCCATTGTTATATGTTTGTAAGTCTTATGTTGTAAAATATTTTATTCAAGTAAATAATGTAACCACAGAAATGTCTATGACTTGAGCAGATAATGCTCAGAGATTTGAGTGAATGAGATTTTATCAAATAACCAGTTGAATTGAAGTGCAATAAAACACTGGACGGCAGTTACATGTAAATATACATTTGGAAGTACCTTTGAGTTGTACACTAATGTTGAACATTAGATCCATTCTTGCATAATTCTATGTTGGGATATTTTTTGTACCTTCTACATTTATGAGACTTGCATGACTTGCATGACATGGCTGAAAATATCAGTTCTTGAAACTTTTATTCAATAAAAACATATCATTTCAATATCCACTGATTCTGTCATTCATGTTATATCTAATGCTAATAAGCAAAGAGAATGTCAGTGAGACTGAAAGTAGGCTGAGTAAAAGTGAGACTGTATTAATTGTTTGAAAGTTTGATGTCAAGCAAAAGCCAGCAGTGTTATCTGCTTGTATTGACTTGTTGTTGACTGTGTAGATGTAATAACCAGAGTTCCACAACCTCGTAATCATACCTACCTCAAATGTTTATTAATAACCTTTGAGATTGTATTGACTTTTTATTTGCCCATGGGATGAACCATTAACAGGGCAGGCCTGGGATAATGTTAGTGGGTCATTATTAATTCAACACGACATTCATGGTTATGTTACAAGGACTGAAGGGCACAATTTATCACAGTTGAGTTAACATTACAGTAAATTGCATATTGCCAGGTTCCTTGATTGGCCAGATGTAACGTTAACGTCGTTAACGTTCGTTATCACTTAGACTGGCAAACAATGTAAAAGTTTCATTGTAAAAAGAGTTTCTGTGTTCTATGTTTTCATTCACTCCAGACCAGTCAAAACCTCTTCACTGTTAAGGAAAGCTTTTGACTGTCACAATTTGCAATGGATGGAATCTTGCTTCAAAACCTCAGAAAGTGACATCCCCCGTACAGCCACGCCCCCTAGCGGAAGTAACATTCCCCGTTGCTAAGGACTCTGTATGTAAATTTACCCGGTTGCTAACGTCAATTACGCATGCGTACTGGATATCTACGATCAGAAAGCAGAGAGGCTTCGGCGAAAGGTGATCCTGTCTACCGAAAACACCGGCCAAACATTCCGCTCAAACCGTCATGGAGCGCTGTAAGCTCGGGTAAAGAAGCTGTCCGGACTGCTAAACACATTCCTGAAGGACGGGATTTGTTTTGGAGACAGATACTAACACGAGAGACGTTTCATCGGACTGTTTTCGACCAGCTTCGAGCGAACGCCATTTTCACAGTGGGCGGTCGGAGTTTGAATCAAAGACCGGGACGTTTTTGAAGTAATCTTTGGTATTTCTGGAGGACGATGAAGGGATTCCTTAAGAGCCAAGACGGGGTGTTCTCCTTGGGCCCCAAAATCACGACTGTTGGCCGAGAAAATTGCGATCTGGCGATACAGGTGAGGTTTGAAGGAAGCTTGTCAGGGGGGAGGGGGGCTAATGGATTCTGTCATGTACACAATGAAATGACCCAGTGTGTATTCCGTTGCCAATAACATGATCATACCGTAGTACGCTTGTATACTTTTGACATAAATGTAATTCTGTCCTTGGTCATTAGACAAGAAAAGCTATGTTCGAATCAACTTGTTAAGTATGATGATGACATTTTCTAGGTTCAAAAAATAAAGAGTGTGAAAATTGAATACAGGTGATCACAAGATGACACCTACCTGACAGGTATGGGTCTTTTAATCACGCCATTAACAGTGACGTACTGATTGATATCTTTGAATTGGCAAATTGTTTGGCTTTAAGATTGCCATCCAAAAAGTTAAACCCAGGTCACAATAAATTTAGTTCAATTCTGTTGTTGTAGCTATAATTTAAAATTCCAAGCACATCCAATCACCCCCAGCATCACTCTTCTCTATAACTAGTATAAGTGCTTTCCCATTTTCCCAAAAGCTTAATGTCCCTGTCAAAGGATGATCAGATATAGAAGAAAAATTACATTCACTTGGAGAAAAAATGTGCAAATTAATATCCATTAAGACTTTATTCCGTGTATGTTAGCTCTGAACCACAAGTCTCCATCAAATTCAAAGATTACTTCAAATTCTGTATGAGTGTGTCTGTTGCCCATTTAACTTCCCTTTGGCATAACACACCAGCTGTAGCATTCTGGTGTCTGACAGTGAAAAGGCTGCCATGCCTGCTGTTACCCATTGATATACTAGTAAAGCAAAATAAAGGGAGCTATGTGAATATGGCCGGTAAATACATTCTCATTCTAATGTTCCAAACTGTAAATAAATTATATGTAAGTAAATGTGTTATAGTGACTGATAGAAGCACAAGTATGCATATTTCTCATATTATAGGCATCTATGTTCCAATGCTTTTTACTAGAGATCAAGTTCTAGATCAGATTTTGCATTTGTCACCTTGAAAGCACTCAAAGGATTTACATCCAGTCGTAGCTGTATATCTGGAGCAAAGCCTGTCCAGTAAATCTCTGAGTTGCTTAGCAACTCAGAAGTGGTTACGCCAAAGGCAAAGTTAAAAGGGTTGTTCCATTTGTAAACTGCAGCTGAGATCAGATGGACACAGTTTGCAATGCAGTGTGAATAATTAATCTTTACAGTAGTTAACATGTTTTGGTGATGGTTTTGGCAACAGAAGAACTTTTCATCATGACTTTTAATCTAAATTTGCAGGTACCTCACATTTTCCCTGTAGAAAGTTTTACCAGAAACTATCAAAATCAAAGTGTTATTTCATGATTTCTTGTCCAGACTATTTTGATCCTTTGCCCATGTAATATTAAATGTAATAAGTCTCAACAAACATTGTTTGGGATAGGCCAATCCAATTTCCTGAAGTAAGGTCAAGCACCCTAGAAACAGGGATTTAAAGGCAATCTGGCTTGCACTCTGTTTGCAGACCTAATTAGTTACTTGTTTGTGAAAGTCCTTGGAACATTTTGGGTGAAAGCAAGTTGCAGAGCATTCTGAAGTACAGGATTAGTCGTCCCTTGTGTTACTAACCGCCTTGCTTGTACCATAGCAATAGTTACGGTGTGTTGTACCAGGATCAGATAACTTTGAAACTCCAGCTAGGACTAACTCTTTCCCTAGCACTATAGCCATGAAATACCCAGTCTAATACTTCTTCTCTCAAAAAGAAATTTGTAAAGATATACTGTTGTGAAATTTAGGACTAAATTTACATTCATTTTGGTTATCTTTATAATAAATGTTACCTTTCTGTTGAAATGATCATTTCGCACCTCGCTAATGGTCTTACAAGTTAGGCCATGTTGATTTAATTATATGGATGACATCCGCGTGCGCATGAATTTTCGGCCGTTTCCAAAAAAAAAAAGGTTTTCAACCATACTGTAAATCGTACAAAACAGTTGCAAAATGAGCAAAAATATTAAAAAAAATAATAAATAAAAACTATACCAATGTCGTAGAATGCCGGATGCCAAAATCAAACGAAAAAAGACGAAGTTGTAAAGAAATGAACTTGAAGACTAGATTATTCGCCAAACCATATTCTGTCCCATTTGTTCAACCCTCATGAGTCATGACCACGTAGATTTCATAATGAAAAAAACTTTTTTTTTTTTCAAAACTTTTTTTTATTCGCACGCGCGCATCAGTTTTGGGGTTCTCGGAGGATGTCATCCATATAATCAAATCAACATGGCCTTACATGCATATTTGGGCATCAACATTCATATAATGTCACAGTGCTGATTAAATGAAAGAATGTGGCTTAGAAAAGCGTCATGTCAATAGAGCCCTTTATACCAGACGGTTCAAACCAATTTCACCCATCATGTACTCTGTAAAGATTTGTTTGGAGACTTGTAAGACTGCCATGCTGGTCGGGAGTAATATTACATGTACAATGTACTAGTTGAACAATGGCTGACTGACAAGTGGTTGGAAGCTTAGTGCCCAAAAGGTGATGTTTATCATGGGTTGTTGGGAGACAATAAGACCAGTAATAAAACAGGTGTGTTTGGTTATGACTGTTTCTTACTTTTGGTATGGGCCTGAGCCACTCCTCTGTTTTTAAGTCAAAGAATCAAGCAACTACATGTACATATAAACTGCCTTGGTAATCTCCAAGCAGATCATACGGTAAGTGGCAAGACTATTTTTTAACCCTTGGCCAGAGCTGTGAGCCTGTGACCATTTAATGATTAGCCACCTACGGCTATGGTTACAGGGTGGCAAATGTAGCTCTGGCCAAGGGATAAGATCTGCTTGGAGTTGGAGAAAACCATTTCCCAGTAACCATTCCTCAATTGCCAGTAAGCATCCTGCAATTATCTGCCTATTTCTATACAGTAAACCTAACAACCCGTGACTATATGTACATTGTTTGCTCATTTTAACTGTCACCACATGACCCTAAGGGCATTGATCAACCAGTCCAGAACAAAGGGGTCAGACTGGTCTATTTTGCCTAATTGATTGGCATGAGTTATAGCTGGACAAGTTAGTGTCACCAACAAATTGATTTTGTAACAAACTTGAGGTTTTATGTGAAGAAAGGTTTTAGTTCGCTTTTTTTCTGGTATCTTCAACATACCAAATAAATCAAGTACAATGTATTCTATTTTAAAGAGGTAATCAAGTGATTGTGCTAGATAAAAGGATAGCCTAATGCAAAATAAAGATTTCCTCTCAGCTCATTCATGCAGCACTCAATGACAGTTCACCAATTTATTATGTAAAAATGAGCTTGAGTTGAGAGATTGTATTTTCTGTAGATGTACCAGGTAGGATGGTAACGTCCTTGGTACCAGGTAGAACACTGGTTACATTATGTTCCCAGTAATGCTTCTGGCTATTATCATTATAACCATGGCAACTAGAATAACAACTCCAGTTTTTGATTGACAGCTACTGAAGGTATTCTAAAAACTCATTCAAACTCAAACTCATGTACCGTTTGTAGTACAAAGTTTGATCTCATTTGTAACAAAAGAAAAACATTTTGTCTCAGGCCCAGAGCGTAGAGCGCCAACACGCTGTGATCGAGTACAGCGACGTGGAGAACTGTTTCGTGCTGCAGGACATGAACACGGTACAGGGGACGTACGTGAACGACTGCCGCATCCAGAACGCTGCCGTGCGGCTGGCTCCTGGGGACATGATCCAGTTTGGGTTTGGAGGAATGCCGCATGAGTTGGTGGTCGAGGATGCACCTCAGGTATGACCAGTGCAAGAATTCCTAAACACAACATACCTGTGTACACTCTACACAAGTCTGCTGATCTGTTCATACCACACATTCTTCAAAAGTCTTGGTTAAAACTCTCTTACGCTCTGCTTGTGTATGATCCTTCAAATTGCTCTGAAGATACTATAAAACTGTCTGAAATAATATGTTCAACAGATTTTGAGAGAGATTGTTTGCACATCATTTACTGACCTTGAAAAGGTCAAACTGTCATTTTGATCCAAAGCTTATAGCAATTTTCTAAAAGTGGGCTCTAATTGCACGTTGCCATTTTAGCTGCATAAAATATGTGATAGCAAAACAGATGCAAAATGCTTTTATAAATTTTTCATAAGTTACAGCAATACAGTGCAATTATTGGGATGTCATCTGTTATGAAGTCCTCCTTATGCCAAGATATTTTTAGTAACGTTCTTCAGGAAATTCTTGGCTTCACTTTCTTCTAGATGTTCTCTGCAATGATTGAATGCTGATGTCTGTTTATGTACATGTCTTCCTCATCTGCATGTGTTGTTCTTTTCTCTTGCCTGAAATTCCTGTACATTCATGAATGAGCTAAGTCTCACATCTGTCTTTACTGTTTTCTTTCCATGCTTCCAGTATCAACACAGGGTGAGTCAGAAGACCTAACATACATTGTTTTCCTCCCTGGTAGACAACAATAGAATGTCCCTAGGGTCTGTACATTATTGCTTTCAATGCATTGATCTTCTGCATGTAGACTTTTGCTAGCTTCCGTGGACTTCTTGATAACAGTTACCAGATTGTTAGTATCAAAAGGATATTATATTCTAATGCAAGTTAAGGATTTAAAATCCTTCTAATAATTGTGAAGAAAGAAGGAAAGGCAAGTTAGTACATTTGTAGTGTATGAAACATATGAACCCTCATGTCCCCTCTCTTGCACAGGTGTACTACCCCCCTGTCCAGCAGCGGCCAGCCTGGAGTGCTCCCATCACCATCCTACAGACCTCTCCTGTTCCTGCCTCCTCCACACAGACACAGCTGCCCTACCTGCCTACTGCTACCAGTACTGTACCCAGTTTTGCATGGGCAGGTTCAGGTAAATATATCCTACTTACTGCTTCCAGTATTGCACTCAACTTTGCATGGGCAGGTTTAGGTAAATATATGTCGTACCTACAGCAACTACGTAGTACTGCACCAAGCTTTGCATGGGCTGGTTCAGGTAAATATATATCCTACCTACAGCAATCAGTGTATATAATCAGTGGCAGTGCTCCACCCAGCTTTGCATAGTCAGGATCAGGTTACCAGGTAAATGTATGTCCTACCTAACTGCACTGAGCTTTGCATGGGCTGGTTCAGGTAAATGTAGATCCTGGAACCCGCAACAACCATATAAGAGTTATGGGAAAACAAAACATTTCCTGTCATTGTCAATTTTTCACATTCAGCGTTTGATGCCCATAGTTTCCAGGTTTTTATAAAGATATCTGTTGTAACTGTTGTCACACTTGTGTTCCAGGGTCCCCGGTGTTGCCCCACCCCCCTCAGAAGTCCCGGCCCCTGAGTGCAGGGGCCAGGAGGGGCAGTTTTGGAGCCAGTCTCAGCGACCCAAACACCCCCAAGAGCAGCCCACCCATGCCTCATAGAAGTAAGTTTATAATTTCACATCCCATTTTGTGGACAAATTGTTCAATGAGACATCTTTCTTTCTAAAGAAATTTGCAAAACCTTGCCAAATACATGTATAACTTTAGAAAATTTCAGTAAACTTTAGTATGTAGATAATAGATTAGATGTTGTAACTGTTTGTTAAAAAAATGTATAAGTTTGCAAATTACAGTTCTGGATCCTGAATACCATACAATTTTAAATTTTACTCTTCTTCAGCCATTTCAGGAAGCTGGGTGGGAAGAAATGGAGTGAGTGGTTCCCCCACACCAGACATCTCTCCTGCACTGCTGCAGGATAAGGTAAGAGAGAGATTTCTTTTGTCCTGACTTAAATCAACAAAGCTGTCTAAAACTATAATTTACAGTTATTGCTGTAGTTGCTATGCTTATCAAGAGGTTTGTATATCGCCATGTAACAAAGCACTGTAACGTCACGGTATCAAATTTGGAAAGAATTATGATGGTAAAATATTTTAAGCACTGCTTTGAGCTACATGTAGGTCACTCAACAGGCTATTGAGGGAAATACTTGCTCTCTAACATCAAACTTATACCAACAGGAGCAGAAGATCCTGCGTATGGGTGATGAGATCGGCAGGCTGGCTGTGTTTGAGGGGGAGTGTAAGCGGAAGGACGCCATCATCGACTCTCTGCGTAACGAGGTCTCCCAGCTGCACACGGAGCTGCGGAAGGCTAAGGAGTCTGGGCAGGGAGACGCCGTTGTCACACAGAAACTCCTGCTGCTGGAGAACGAGGTGGAGCAGAGAAAGTCTGAGGTCAAGGCTCTGAAAGACCAGGTGAGATTATACCTAAGATGATACTTTAGTTGACTTTTACTTGAGTTTGCAGATAGTTTTTCGTGATGGTTTCCTCTTTGGGATTAATTTTGAAGCAGACAGTGGTAGTAAAATTGATGGAAAATTACCATGGAGCATGTATTCATTCATGTAAGTGACTTAAACAATGACAATGACACTGACAAGTAAAAAAAAGTGCTAAGAAATTGTACTTCACTGTTGTTAACTCTTGTGCTTTTGGTCTTTAATAGCTGCTACATTTTGATTTGTAAAGAATCGTATACATGTATCTAAAGGTTATAGAATGAAAGATTTTCATCATTGACGTAGTACTTTTGTTGTTGTCTCCTCACAGTTGTCCCACATCAGCAGTGGCATGGGCAGCACGTCCACCCTCCACAGCGAACTGTCGGAGAAGGAGCGTGAGATTGGTAGGCTCATCACGGAGAACGGGAAACTGCGTAAGGACTACAGCATGACGCAGGGCCTGGTCACCTCCCTGCAGAGGGACCTCTCTAACAAGGAGGTCACCATCAACAAACTGAAGGCAGAGACAGACAGGCTGAAGAAGGATGTGAAGGATAAGGACGTGCAATTAGCTGCCATGTCTGCAAAGGTGGGAAATTTTGCATTTCAAATACATCAGTATATCAGTTTTCACATAGAAAGAATATCATCGATATACTAGTTAGTGACAAAGAAGTAGTGACAGTCATGTTGTTCTTGCTACCGTTTTTTCAAATTCATGACCTAACTAATTCTTGTTTTGTTTCAGTTCTCCCGAATTCGTGAGACCAAGAATTTTGAAGAGGCACTAACAGCCAAGGAGAAGGAACTGGCAACTCTTAGAGTTGTAAGTAGAGTATTGTTTATTGCATTATTTGGTTCCTTTTGCCTAGGATTAATAAACATCATAGATCACAGATGATTCCAGTTTTGCTTAGCTACAAAAAGGTTATGGTACATCTGGAGATGTACATGTAATCTTTGGTTTATCTGCGACATGAATTGTGTAATTGCAATTTGCTTGACATAAGAAGACCTCTTCATTGATCAGGCACCGTCTGTTTTTCTTCCACAGAAACTGAGGAACAGTGAAAAGAAGGCAAAGGACGGAGATGAAACCCGCAAGACACTGAAGGAGGAGTTAGACCGGGTCAAGATCCTGTTGTCCGAGGAGAGGGAGGTGGGCGATTTTTTTTGTGTCATTTTTTTTCATGAACCTACTTTATTTGATATGATGGATTTTGAAGACAGAGTGTGGTCATTTGCAAGGACATACATGTACAAATGACAAAAGGTATTTAATAGTGACTGAAGCAACTTCTTGAAGTTTTTTCTAACATGTAACTTATATCTTAGTACCTTGCCTCAGTTCTATTCTTTTTCACTGCATATCAGCACTTGGCACTGAGGCGGGTCATCAATGTCTAAGACTCTTCCACAGTTTTTTTGTTTGTTGCTGTCTGTTGCGCCTCTCCCATCTGCAACCATGCCTCAATTAAGCTGACATAAATATGCTAATGACTGAAATTCACAATTTTCTTCTCCTCCCTCCCAGAATGCGAAGACCTCCCGGGCACAGATGGAGCATGCGAAGGCTCAGTTCCTGGACGTGCAGCGCTCGGAGCGGCTGCTGCGGGTGGACCTGGAACAGGCGCAGGCACGGCTGGACCGCTTCCGCAGCCGCATCATCCAGGTGACCTACTCCGCACCTGGCATCGCTTCACCTGATGAGGAGGTACTGTCTGTTTCCTGTTTGTTTGTTTGTTTGTTTATCTGTGATTTGGAAGGTTTGTTTGTTTGGTTGCTTGTTTATTACATGGCAATGAAATACAGTTTTATTTGCTTTTGTCCCCACAATTAGTATGATGAGGAGGAGGGAGAGGTAGACATTCCTTATATACAACACTTTGAAGAAATGATATGCACTGTAGGCTTATGGAAATGATACATATGAAGAAAGTAATATTATTCTTTTTAGTCCAGTCCAGTAACAAAGTGCACAAATTGTATTGTACAATTTCAAATGAACAACTCAGCCATTTTTCCCATTGTTTTCTAAAACACTTAGTGACATTACAGTCATACACTTAATTCAACTTGCACCATTAGTGAGCATCAATTGTAAACCAAACTGAATCTCATAATAATACTGTTGCCTTTTTGGCCTTTCTGCTGCAAGGGTGAAGAAGAAGATGAAGAGGTATTTTACCCAAATGTAATTCACGTTGTCTGGAAAGCTTTCGACCCATAAATGGTTCACTTTGACATCAATGTTGTAACCAACACAAAAGCTATAATTTTCATAACTATAACTTTCTCTTGTTGAATATGCTCAAAGATAATATTTTGGGTTATCACAGACTTTTAATAGATAAGTTGAAGAAGGGACCACCAAAGGAACTGCACATAACTGATACCACTGACATATTCTGCACCAGTGTTAAGACTGATAATTCTATTTGAGGACTTACTACTTATGATAACTTTTCCATTCTTACCTGTGACTCAAGATTTTTCACTATGAGGTATGTCTGAGGGTTCCCTGTTATATTTTCCTTAGGACCATTTTGTTTTCTTGTGTGTGAAGATCTATACCATGCGAGAAGCACCATACATCAATCACTTTAGGAACACCTTGAACAGAAGAAAACATCATTGAAGTGACACACATTGCTAAGAGAATTTTTCCACTGAAAGCACCTTTAGGACAGTGTAAATTGTGTTACACACTGCACATTTGTAATGCAAACTAACGATCACCTTTCCACATTATTTCATAGCAGGTTCAGCTTCATTTCCAGGAGGTGGCAAGCAGAAAAATTTCTCATACATGTTTGTACCTGCACCGAGTCTTGATCATGCACCTGATCCTGAACTTCTTAAACAGAATATCCCGGCATCAGAATTTCTTCTCTTTTTTTTCCATAGGTTGACGACAACCAGGTGATAGATCAGATGAGGAACATCATCCAGGACAGGACCCAGTTCCAGAACAAGGTGCGCGACATGAAGGACCAGCTCAAACTGGCCGAGGAGTCGCAGAAGGAGTCTCAGCAGAGTGCCAAGGCTCTCAGGCAGCATCTTAGTGAAGCTGAGGTTAGTATAAGATGGCGTTGTGAGTTTATTTGTAATATTTGTCAATCAAGTTTGCTGTCATCTAAGGTCTGTTCATAAGACTTTGTTGTGTTCAGTTGTCAAGCAAAAACATTGCCTTTTCCCCGCAAATTTTATCAAGTACTATGTAACACGGGAAGACATAAGGTCTAAAATTAAGTACATTATATACGTATCTTTCAAGATGGAAGGATGCCTACTAACTAATTATACATATTTTTACCTAGAACTAGTAGAAGCTAAATTGAATGCACTTGTTGCACTTATCCTCCACAGTGCCGTCTGCGTGACAAGGGTCGCTCGGCGAACATGTTGAAACAAGAGCTGCGCGTTCTTCAGTCGCTGTCTGTGGACGACAATATTCAGTGGGTGAAGGACGCCGCCTTGAACCTGTTCAACGCTGAGTTGTCATGGCAACAGGAGATTGAGAGCGCCCTGGAGAAGGCTGGATGTAATGTCAAGTTGTCAGATGAAGGTGTGTGGATGATTGATACTGTTTTGACAGGACCAATTTATAGTTATGTTTGAAGACAAAAGGATGCCAATCTGGCCACATTGCTGCTGTCAGTTTGTTTCTTTTACATTATTTACTGCTGCCAAACCCTGCATTCAGTACAAATTTGGGGCAAGAAGTGTGGGAGAAGAGAAAAAAACTAAAAAAAGTGCTAACAATCTTACAAAAATGGTCTTGCCAATAAGTAGGCCAAGGGTCAAACTGATTAGGCAGCACTTTGTAAAGTCTGTTGGTACACTCTGGTTTATTTTCTGTTTATTCATATTAGTATCCCTTTTTCTTGCCACAGCCTCAGCCAAGCACATTGACAACTTGTGGAAGAAACTGGAGGCTGAGCTGAAGGAGATGGAGAAAATGCGGTCCCACATCCGTGACCTTGAGGCACAGCACAAGGGTGACCTCTCAGAACGACTGTCAGAGCTCCGGATGCAGCATCAGCAAGACTTGGCAGATGCCATCGCAAAGGTGGGTTTAAGTTAAAGTTTGGTGTTTACATTCAATCATAGATTCACGAAATGAGTCAACTGCAAATAGTAAAAAGGCGACTGCACTCTCCTGTATTACACTGGTAATTGTGTTTTTTTTTAAACTTTTCGCAGTAAGTTTAGTAGAGTGTGTTTAGCATTTGACTAAATTTTCCTTCTGTTTTTGATTAAAATACATGAAATACAAGAATGATTGAAGCTCTACTCAACTTATTATCTGGCTTGTATTCTGGCAGACTATCTTACATAGGCTAGCAGAGTCCTAAAACAGACACATCAGAATCAAATTATTCTGCAAAGTTTACCAAAATGTGAAAAGAGGATAACCATGATGTGAACTAACCCCAGGTGCGACTGGAGGATGAGGAGAAACTGCGTAAGGCGCTGGACGAGCTGCGGGAAGCGGAGGCGGAGCGACGGGCACAGGCCGTGTTAGCCGAGAGACAGAAACTGGACGAGGCCAACAACAACATGGAGGAACTCAGAGTGGTGCGTACAACTGTCACACACAGAACAGCAGCTTATGATGAGGGGAAATAGTTCATTCATTCAGTTATTCATTCAGTCAGTCAGTCAGTCAAACTGATTTATTTCCAGTAAGGGCTAGAGAACATGTTGACAGCCCAAAGACTAAGTTGTATGGCTTGGACAGTTACTATTAACAAGGAATCTTTAGGTTCACTATTACCAAGAAGTTAGGACCATCAGAGGACTGGTAGGAGTGTGATTTATTTATTCAGGCTAGTACGAGAGTGATGATTGCGTAAAACGTACAATTCTTTACTGCAAAGAAAGCTGTGTTGGGATTTTCAAGGTTTTCAGTAAAAACAGTTGATAAGAAAAAAGAAATGCAGTGAACTAAAACTTCTCAAAACAGAAAAGATTGAAGGTGTGTCTGTTTCCATGGCAACTATCATGCTTGGATGCAGATTTCTGTGTTTTCACAACTTTTCATCCCTTGAAATGGACACCGAGTCAACAGACAGTTCTTGAGTTTCCCTACATCTGTTGAGCAGACAATGATTGTAAACTGTTGTGACCCAATAGTAAAAGATGTGCCTTGTTTGTGTTGAATGTTGTGTTTTGTGCAGTGTTTAGCCTATAATAGAAAGGTCATGTCAGATGGAAGTGAGATGCCATAAGTGTAAGTCTCAGAGATGTCTCTGCTCTTTAACCAATCTAATAAGGGTTCCAGATTGTCTGTGATCATGAAATCTATTTTATCTTTATCAATCCTACCTGGAATTAGAATTTGCCTTGAGTTGCAACTTGGGTCATCTTCTTAGCTTGCAGTTGTTGGCTAAAGGATCTAGTAGGTGACTGTAATGACACTAACATTTCCTTTTTTCTCCTTCAGTCATTCCTGAAGAGACAGGAAGAAGAGAAGGAGACCAGAGCTGCAGCACAAGAGGCGCTAGACAAACTGGACGAGTACAAGCAGCTTGAGGTGGGCACAGTTGCTGTTTGCTTCTAGTAGCAAAATATTTCAGGTTCTACCTAATGCAAGTAGGTCATGTTTTATTTTGTCAACACCTGACATGAAAAAATAAACAGTGAGCACTGTGGTTGGCATGCATGGCTACATTGGATACAACTCTGATTTTGTCCGTTGAATAATTTATAGGAATTATCAACTGCAAATTGAGCTCTTAAGCTTCTAAACTAGGACAAATCTAGGACAACCTCTTTCTGAGGTGTTTGTGCTGATTTGTATAGACTACCATTCATGAGTTGTTAAATCATTATTTCTTTTCTCCTTCCAATTGTTATTGTTGTTCTTCCTGCTTGCCAAGCCCCATGGCTGCATTTATTAGCAGATTGCATTATATGTTAGTAACAGAGATCCAGAACATGTAAATATAGGGAAAGAAAAGGATAATTTGGAAGAGACCATAAATAACTGATTTTGTGTGTTTAACATCCCTTCCCTTCCTCCAAGCCAATTTGAGACAGGAGATAGAAGACCTGTCATGTAATTTTGTATGTTGAATAAATTATAGAAATTATCAACTGCAAGTTTAGCTCTTAAGCTTATGAACTAGGACAAAACTAGTACACCATTTATGCTGCTCTGAATAAACCACTATTCATCAGTTGTGTTTTTTCTCCTTTATTCTTCCCAAATGTCTAACATCCTTCCCATCCCCCAGGCCAAGTTGAGACAGGAGATAGCAGACCTGGAGCAGAGGAACAAGCTGGAGCAGAGGACCCTGCGGGAGGACCTGGAGGAGAGGAGGCGGGGTCTGAACCAGGAGACCGACACGCTCCGCGAGCAGGTCAAACAACACGCCCTGACGATCGTCGCTATGGAGGAACGTCTCCTGGCCACGTCCAAACAGCTGAAGGAAGCGGAGGGACAGAAGGTGGACCTGCAGAGGAAACTGGAAGGTGAGGCGACAGATTTTTGTTGTCATGGTAATGTTGGAAACTTGTTGAAGATGGGAGATCGCAGAGTAACCTATGTTTTCCCTTAGGGAAAGAGAGCTGTGCTAATTGTTCTGTGTTTTTTTTTTTTGAATGAAAGAAAGCATGACTGAATATGCAACATGAGTTGATCCATGTATGGATTGATTCATTTGCTGGATACAGAAAACTTTGTCCCTTGTAGTTCCATACTTAACTGACAGATGGCTCTTTTTAGGGTAACATAACATTGTGTAATGTTACATGCTGTACTTTGGATCTGGCATAGTTTAGCTGTCTAGTGAAGCAGTGAAAGTAACTGCATCTTGATTAGAATTTAATGTCAGCATGTGCATAACTGAAATACCTGGCTGCAAAAGCATGGATCTTGCCTTTGAAAGTCTCTAGAAGTCTTCTCTGTCTAAAAGCAAATGTTGTGAACTTATAAGATTGTGTTGTTCAGGTTTGCCCTCCTGTTGTTGAGAGAATCCTCCCTGCTTTCACGAAATTCCTAACTTCTCCAGTGCTGCATGGAATGTGATACTGTATACCATATCCCCTCTTGCTCCTAACATCAAGAACTGCATTGTCTTATCTTCTTAGCATGGCAGTGGTCGAAATACTTTTTTTCAGTGCTCTGCAATATTGCAGAAGAGTCAAAATTTCGTCCTGCAATTTGGAAATACTTTCTGCAAATACACAAGCCCCCATATTACAACCTTCTGAAACCAATAATGCCTATTTTTACATCATATATATATATATATATA